TCTGAAATGCTGTGACATTCACAAAGATACCAAAGACATGGTACAAGCCATTGACGAGCAAGTTTTGCATGATGACATGAAAAATAAAAAGTGTTTTCTGAATTACATCAGGGATGAAAGGAACCAGAACGAGATTCTTTTAATTCCGGATGGCCTTGATGAGTTACCAGAAGTATCGGGAAAAGTAGTTGATAGGCTCTTTAAAAGAAAAGTTTTCTCACGTTGTTTTACTTTGGTCACCTCACGCGAAGAAAAGGGAATCGATGTCCAGCGGCGCTTTGACTTTGATACACTTTTGCAGATTAAGGGGTTCACTTCGAAGGATGCTACAGATTACATCAGGAAGCATTTTAAAAGCGTAGATCCACAAAATTTGTCAGAAGGCGAGAGGCTCATTCAAGCTGTTGAAGAAAACATTTACCTAGATGCGCTGCAGAATAATCCGTTGAATCTCCTTCTCTTGTGTGTTGTTCTTTGAGACTTTGAAGGGAAACTTCCATCTAATCGCACAAAGCCTTATCATATTATTTTTCGATGCTTGTTAAGGCGTTACTGCTCCCGAAATGGCCTGGACGTTCATCGAAATGCCGACAAAGCGCTAGAGAATCACTTTAAAGAGTCCATACTTGTGCTAGGGGAGTTAGCGTGAAGTGTCTTCTAGAAGACCGCCGTTCGTTTTCAGAAGAAATATTGGACAAGTTAGAACATCGAGGACCCATGTGAGAAAATTTGCAGTGATCAAATTGGGCCTTGTTTTCATGGAAGCCAGTTCAAGGCCAAGTCAGGAGCCAAGGCATCAGTGTCATTTTCTTCACAAAATATTTCAAGAGCTTTTAGCTGCTTTTCACCTAGTGGACAAGATATTGATGAATCAACTAAACCTTACTTTAGTCAAGCAAGATGTATCTGTTAAATTCAGACAAGTGTTTTTCTTTGTAGCTGGCATATTGGGCATGGAAGGAACGCTGTTTTTCAAACAGATAGGAACGATTCTAAGAGAAGAGTGGGACTGGCATAATCCTTATGAAGACTGTGAGTTCTTACTTGATCGAGAGTGGTGCTGCCGATGATTTAGGGAAAGTTGCCTGCCCTCTTATTCCATCACTAAACGATTTGAAACTTGGTATGAGAGAATGGTCCTCCTTGAAGTTTATAAGAATTTATTATGAAGGCGCCATTGTTGGGGGTGATTTAGCACCGGTGCAACTAACCACGCTGAGCTTGTGGAACGTACAGTCTTTCAATAGAGACAATGTGAATGATTTCCATCGAATTCTTGAAAGCAGTGAAACTCTCACAGAGCTGGTCATTTCTAATATCGAGAACATGTCCCATAATATTGCAGATCTGTTAGCTGAGAGTGTGTCGTCAAGCACTTCATTAAGAAAAGTCACGCTTAAACTGTTGGACGTGAGTACTGAGAGGTGCACCAAAAATGTCAGTACCTTGTTACCGACTTTTTCTCAATTTGAATGTGTTGCGCTTGAATTATTTGGTAATCTTAACAACACTGCTGCACAGGCCGTAAAATTGTTACTCAAAACATCGCTAAAATCTCTCGCGCTTATTGTTTATGGAAATCTGAATGACTGTTTAGTGTCGTCTGTTAGTGAAGGATTTGGAGAAGAAACCGAGCTGGAGTCTCTTAGTTATTTATGGAAGACCGAGCAACACTGGAATGGTAGCACTGCAGAAAGGTGTTCTACGAAATAGAACTTTACGCTCTTTAGAGTTACAGGTGTATGGAGAAATCCCAGAAGCATGGATGACAGCTGTTGCCACCATACTGGCAGCCAATAAGTCATGGAAGTCTCTTATTATTCATCCAAATGTATGCGGGAAAATCAAACATGAAGAAAGTTTGCTGCCCTATCCAATTCTAGGTGATGCCCCGTTAGAGAAGTCGTTAACCGTGAACGTCTGTGGGGAAATGAGTGTTGACAGCTTTCAAGCCCTTGGAGGTTTTTTCATGAAAAGTTCACCATCATCTGGTCTCCACTTGAGTGTTCGAGGTAAACTAGGCAATGACGTTGTGGATTGTCTGGTAGACTATTTTCTGACTAACAATTCACTTTCTTCGCACAGTATTATGAACCTTTGCTGTGGAATCACAAGCTACCGAGAAACTGCACTTCAAAGGTTAGTTCAAGGGGGTCCAGAGCATTCTATTTCAGTGCACTTGAATGGTGTCAGTAGGGACCGCTATTTAAGTGGTTTTGATACTCTCGCTAATCTTTCTCCATCCTCAGCCTCGTTTTCAGCTGATAGGAAGACTGCAACATGCGGTGAGGTTATTGCACTATTGAGCTGTGCGTCATCAACTACGTTCAACCTCACTGTTAATAACCACGCTGGCATGCCAGGAGAGTGGGCCAGAGGTGTGGCTGAGGGCTTGGCTAACAGTCGATCTCTATTTACATTTACTCTCACAGTTAACAGTCAAACTTACAATATAGGTACGTGGGCTGTCGGTATGAGAAAGGGCGTGCCGAAGTGCGCATCATTAACGACAGTCAGTCTCTCAATTAACAATGACACTGACAAGAGAGAAGGCTGGGCCGACCATATGATATGGGGCCTGCCTGAGTGTGCATCATTAACGACATTCAGTCTCACAATTAACAATCACACTGACAAGGATGGAAACTGGGCCGACTGTATGAGTAAGGGACTGTCGGAGTGCACATCATTAACGACATTCAGTCTCACAGTTAATAATCACAATGACAAATGATCAAACTGGGCCGTCCATGTGAGTCGGCGCCTGCCGGAGTGCGCATCATTAACCACATTCAGTCTCACAGTTAACAATCACACCGACCAAGGAGTAAACGGGGCCGTTCAAATGAGTTGGGGCCTGCCGAAGTGCACGTCATTAACGACATTCAGTCTCACAGTTGACAATTACACTGACGAGATGGAAAATTGGTCCGACAGTGTTAGTAAGGGCTTGGCGAACAGCAGATCATTAACTACATTTAGTCTCATAGTTAATGATCATGCTGACATGATGGGAAACTGGATGAGAGATATAAGTAATAGATTGCAAAAGAAAGGTTCCTTGACGACGATAAGAATAGCATTCAATTTGTACGGTGTGCGCAGAATTCGCTAAGAGCTCGTCCAGTTTCCAATTCTCTCCTTTGTTAAATGCGTGTATAAAACTTCGAAGAGTTAGAGACTGTCGTTGAAGGATAAGGTCGCAGAAGAAGTTCACTGAAAAATTCCTTAATGAGAAGCAAGAATTATTAATGTGTTCATGTTGCTGGTGAAATTTGCTTTTTTCATACGTGAATGAGGTTACTTTTAGTTGGTATTGAAAGTTGGTTCGCACTTATTCGCCATGATAACTTTTTACTCTTCCGCACAACCTGCACCAGTTTGGCAAATTTTCGAACAATGAGTATACATTAATCTATAGCTGAAAAACTGTATTCATTTCAACATAAAGGACGAGAACATTTGTTGGTAAACATTAATAAGAAACACAGTCCCACGCGCCTTTCTTGTGCGAGGAGCACATGTGATTTTAGTTAACCGGAAACGAACTCATTCAACCAATGCATTGAAAACGTCTTGGCAAGCGGAGAAATGAAACCGAAGTTGCCGAACATTGTAATTTTATTACGACAGTTGTACAGTTTCTGTTATCTCTTTTTATTGTTGTGAACGTTTAGCAAGTGAAGGCTTCTAAACGCATTTCAAATGAAAACAAGCCCAAAGATGGTTGCGCTCGTAATTGTCCTTTAACTAATTGAAAATTTTTTTTTCCTGGACCTCAGAATTGTTTAACCCGCCTATTTCCAGACCTAAATAACCATTAAGGAATAGCTATGTCCCAAGAGTGACAACCGAGATTTGAAATGTACCACAGAATTAAAAAAGAACATCCAAGGTATATTGTCAACTGATTGGTATTGACAGGAAATTTGAAGTTAATGAAACCCGGTCAATGGGAGAAATTACACTTGAACCTGCGCAAATTATTGATATAAAGCATCAAGTTAACGGCAAAATTAAACTGCAATGTTACCCACTTTTCCAGTAATACCCAAAGCCCTGCAAGGAAAAATTATCTCGGCTGCAGCATATGCAATTATTTTGTCTTAAGTACTCAAAAAGCGAAAAGAAGACGGTTAGGATTTTTTACCATTAACGATTGCCGTAAATGTAGTGGTTAACCTCGCTGTCAAAGGGCGTGTTTTCGTTTGGGGATAAGGGGCCCCCGAAACACTATTAACCCTTTCACTCCCACCAGTGACCAAAACAGAATTTCTCCTTACAATATCAAAACAATATCAAGAAGACAAGTGATGAGAAGAAAGATAATTATCAACCAGGGCATTATTGGTGGATCAAATAATAAATTCTCCAAACTAATACCATAGGAATTGTATCAGACAGTAGGGAGAATTATGAATGAGATCTTGAGAGTGAGAGGGTTAACGTCTGTCATTTTTTCTCTGGGGTGAAAGAACATTTGACCCGGCAAAAATTTTAAAATAGTAATTAAACTAAGGGTGTTGCCCATCGTGGGTACTACACGACAGCGACATAAAGGAAAGAAAAGATTGGAAACTTAAAATTGTAATGACACTGAGAACGAAGCTAAGAGCTGGAGAAAATGTCAGTCATTTGGGGTTTTATTCCTATCTGTATTACTATCGGGGTTTAAGTCCACGTTGGTAAATCGAAACCTTGTTCTCTTTCACCCTCCGCCTTTTTTCTATTTCTTGTTCATCTATTTAGTGTCAATCGAGCTTGGTCTTGAAGGATTGAGTGGAGTTCAATTTGGATCTGTAAGAAAACGTGTTATAAACCTTTTTCACTTGCATCAAGCATAAAGGTCAGGCTCGCTATCCAGCGGATAAGTGTTACCAAAACGTACTGCGCTATCCACCGGATAGAGATTTATCCATTGGATAGCGTTATCCATCCTTTGAACAAGATAGAGTAGAGTGACGGAAAAGTCCAATCCCCATTTAATTTGATAAGTGAAGAAGTTTGAGAAGCAAAACACTAATCGGTTAAACATTTTCATGGATGAAAACATAACAGTTCACATTTCCTGTCAAGAAACTGAATCTAGTAGTCTGTATAACAGAGCGTGCGGGTCACGCGTATTGTCTAGTGGCGCAGGCACCACCTTAAAACTGTCCTATCACACTTTCCAGCCACAAATATGACAGGTACACTTTCCCATTTGTGCTCATTTGTACTGCTTATCGCCAATCACACTCTATAAATTTCTGATAATTGTGAAGAAAACGTTAATTCAAGGCACTAGGTTACAACTATCGTCAAATTCAATGTCCGGACTGACTGATTTAATGTAAAAAATGTTACAAAAATTACACTGATTAATCCTGCGAGGAATGGGTGTGCAGTGCAACAGCGCTGAAATGGGATACAATGCTGTCCTTGCTATCTCAAAAGATAGCTGTTTACATTGTGAGATGTTAAAAAAGGAAAGAATTAATCTCTTTGGGGAAATTCAGTATATATATTTGCACAGTGCTGTGCTGATATAATCATCAAAGAACATCATAACTTTTTTTTCTTGTAATTGTAGCAGTGGCTTTCAGCTTGACACTGTTTCGCTGACATGCACAGGTACTTTATCTTGGCTCCCCTGTACTGATGGCACACCGAGTCTTACAAATAAGAAAACAGAGACAATGAGCAAAGCAGTTGCTGCTTGATCAACTTTACATGCACGCTTGCTTTGTGAGCTCGGGTTCCTACGAGCAGCTAGTAACTCACTAATTTCAAAAATAAGCCTTGCTAATGATGATGGTTCTTACGGGGTGAAGATCAACTAATACAGAAGATTAATTTTTCACCGAGTCATAAAGTTAAAAGGTTCAGGCTCATCAAATTTTTCTGCTTTGTAGAGTTGGCTCTTTATTTGTAATTATCCTACCTTTGCTGTAGTAGCATGATGGCTGTCATCATATTGCGCGTTTGTGTATCCCACCCATGTGACCAAAAGCATCTATCTGGTTTGCTCTCACAATCCTCTTGACTGGTATACCACCGTGCGGCCATAGTTGACATCTGTAATACGTACTGACCAGGGGTCACGCATTCGCTGGGTACTGAAAAGGTAAATTTTTAATCCATACCGTGCACTTCCGAATTAGGTAAAGATTTTCAAAGTACAAAGTACAGTTACCATCCGTTTCCCATGTTTGTGCAAACTCAGAACACAAAAGCGCTTTTCAATATTGAGTGTCGTCAGAAAACCAAAAACTAGTTTAGTCGCAACCTTTAATCATAAGCAAGGAAGCATCAAAAATAGCCAAGGGGAACCTAAAGTTAAACCAGCAGACTGCCTGAAGCTGCTTCTAGAGTAAATGTGTCCTCCATGCTTGGGAAGTTTCCAGTGTAAGGGTTCTTAGAACCCGAAACATATCCATGGTGGCCATCTTGAAATTTCAACCAATTACTTCTCATACTTTCATACGTTTCACCTGGTTTTCCTTGGGTTCGAATGCCAATCACAGAGCCCCTGGTCTCTTGCGAGGTACACTAAAATTGAATCTGTAGCGGTCAGCGGCTCCGACTTTCGCGAGCCGGTATGCATACACACCACACCGACATTATGATGGATGTACGTAGAAATAGTAGCCAGATGGATTTTTAGAGCTTGTTAGGATCTCAAATATGAAGATATTTTCATTGTTTTCTTTAAGGCCATGAATAATGAATGTTGTGTGTGTTTCAGGTATGGCTATGTATTTTCGTCCAACGGCATCCTTTCCACCACAACAGCGCGTGCGGAGTTATGAGGTATCACTTTTGTGAGTGGGGTGCGCCTACACGTACATGTTATTGAAGATCTTGATTCGCGCGTATTTTCGATCTCTGCTGTTAGGCTTTGGGCAGATCTGTTCTAAAAATGCTGTAATTCAGAAATAGGAAATTTACTCCATAAGTATTTTACTCATTTCATATAACTTGAGCCGCTGTTAATATTTTTTCAACAAAAGGTTGTTACATAAACGCGACTCTTTGACATGTAATACTTAAACTACCGCAGGTCAAGTCACTCACACCCGTCGTTTTCAACAGATTTACAGCAAAGAAGTTTCATTGCCCCTCCCGTTCTCTCCTGAAATCGATAGTTTTGTTACGAGAAATTTTTAACATTATTTACTGCGAAGGATTGTGCATCATACATTATTTCTTCTTGTTGGAAATCATTTAGGGTCTCTCTTAAAATTAAGTTCTGACTCAAATAAACGGCCACCTTTATTCTGCTCTGCAAATGAAATAGATTAACATCAAATGATCATTATGTACCAATGGAACCTGATATCAGATAGTCACAAATAGTCACAAATCGAATTTATGGAAAAAGGCATCCACTCAAGTTTTACCTGTTTCATCATGGTTTGACACTTGTTCTCTATACCGCAGTAATCTACCAAAAGTATTCAGTATAATTTCCGGTAAGATTTTCGCGGACAATCTGATCGATTTCTCTTACATTTTGTGCTGAGACTGAAACTTTTCACCTCAAGCAAATCTCCGTCGCACGGTCCAAACAAACAGCGAGCAACTGAGCTACTAGTATATGTCCGTGTTAAAACACACGAAAGGACTCTAAAGCATACTTCACTCTGATTGGGGAGAAAAACACATAGATTTTCCGGCACCAATCAGATGGCAGAACGACTGCGACCGTTTGGAACTAGTCTTGTAAGACAATGTCCCCAGGGGCTCTTCATGCCCTAACTTGAAGTCGACTCAGCCCCTGGGTCTCCGAGGATGGAGATGAATCAGACTTGACAGTGACCTATGGGGTCACTTTTTTATTGCTCGTGTCTCCACATATTTTAGTCTGATATTCCTTACATGTTGCCTGGAAATTAAAGACATCTCCTTTGTGTCTGTTCTTTCTTCCAACAAAAATTTTTATGAATGGGAAAGAGGATTGTATGCCAGCACCACAAGCCACAAGATAACTGAAGAAAGAGAGAAAGTTTATTTTCAATAAGTTCTCATCCATTAACTTAAAAATTTATTTGAATGTGTATTTATGCATTTTTTGTGTTGCTTATATGAGGTTAAATTCAAGAATTTTGTATGTACAAAGTACAAAGTTCTGCTTCATGCAGATCTGTAAAATGTTTGGGTTTAGTTTAAAATTACAAAGCCATATTCTAAACAAATTATTTCACAATTTTAAGGTTAGTCAGCTTTTGACAATGGTAGTAGTGAAATGGCAACAAGTTCATCTCAAATTTTGTATATGAAACTTTGCTGAAACCATTAGTTAGAAAAAAAAATTAAGGTTAACAGAGATATACTATGCTATGAATAATAGATAAGTTTACCACCTTCCAGGAACAGTTTAATACATTTGATGCATTTGTTACGAGGATCAAATTATTTTCACTGAATCTGTCACGCAATCCCAGACTTTTCTAGACTTATCTTTCATGTGACCCAGCAGTTTCCAAAAATAGTACAACTTGTAATACGCTATAAATAGTGATAGAACATTCTAGATACCTAAAGTAATTGTATAAAAGCTGGCTTGTGAGAAGTGCATAAAAAGGATTTGCCTGAGGGTTTACCCCCGTGGCCGGCTGACTGAACTTGTGGAAGCTATGATGTGACGAGGCTATGACCTTTTGATCTTGCGATATCTGGAGAGAAGAAAGAGAACAAAAAGACGATAGCGGAGAGAAGAAGAAGATGAGGAATAAAGAGTTCACTATGAAGTCCTCTGGAAGAGTTTGTGTACACGGGAAGAATATCATGAATCAAGAAAGCCAAGCGTTGTGGTCTTCAGTCGGTGGAAGTTGGAATTTGAATTTGATCACTGAGACGATGGATACTCATACGGCATGAAGGATTGTAAGCCTGCTTTATGAACTGCTTAACTTTATCTCTAACCTAAGTACATTAGACAGTGTAAAACTAATTAAATAATAGTTGAAATGGGTAACTGCTTATTGCTACATTTTTGTTGCGTGCCTCATATCATACTCAAGGGTATATTTCTATATATGCTTTGTTAGCGGACATGATTGTTGGTCATTTGTGCACGTAACACGTTATTGACCAAGCATGGGGTCAAGATAGCTGGATATGGGCTGAGTCCTTTTTTGCATTTTTAAGGACTGAGACAGAGTCAAGGTCCATAAAAACATGAAAAAGGAGGAGGCTAATCATCTGCCATCTTGACCAAACAAGCTTGGTCCATAAAGGATTTATTATATGGGAAAAAGATTTCTTCTTGTTATAAGAATCAATAATTACTTGGTTATTTTGAGAGCCTGGGAAGAAAGCCAACTATTTTGAAGCTCAATAAACCCACAAGAGTTGTTTATGTTTCTTTTAAATTTGACTGTCTTCTGCTGCTTTTTGCTTCTCTGTTGCCGACAATGTCCAAAAAACTAGGAAACCTTGAAGGTTTGCTCCATGCTGTTCCACACAAGGTTTATCTTGTGCGAGATCAAATTAGCTAATTCAGAGCGGGCAAGATGCGCCCAACTTGCTAGCTCAGGTAGCCAATTAGAACATGTGATTCAAATTACCCACATGCAAAATAGCAGATAACCAAATTATTACTCCCAATTTTATGAGCAATCCTCAGTATTAATAATAAAATTAATTGTCTCTTCCATTTCTTGGAACATTCTTGGATGAGTTTCGGGATTTTTAGACACTCATTTATGGCGTAAGAATTTAGCATGGGTG